ACTGTCAGAGGCCATAAGAAGATCATTTGTAACCTTCACTAAAGCTGTTTCTGTGCTGTGATGAGCTCTGAAACCTGACTGAAACTCTTCAAATAAACCAAATACAGGACACCGATATATCGTTTCTCCAACCTTCGACTCCAGGACGACGAAAACTCCACTGCAGCTGATCATGAAAGCGGCACGAGCAGCAATAGCACAGCCTGCCAACAGGACTCAGATGATGTAAGTGTTATTTAGCACTCCCAAAGGGTTGATTGATCTCTTCGTCTCTTCTTCAGACTCCTACTGAAAACGCTGCATCCGGATGAACAGAATCAACTTTTTGGGATTTCCTTACCAGCATGATTAAGCATGGATCGAGATGTTATTTAGCACTGTTTTATAATGTTTTCCAGATGGTGTAATTTTTCTCACACATACATTTTGTGTTCTCTTTTTTCTAGGATCTCATTGAATGACACAGCAGACATGATTGACACCAGCTGCACTGAAATGGACTGCATGTTGCCTTGATTTTCTCTTTTTTATTGAAGCTCCCCAAATGTTTGAATGTCTTAATTTATTGAGCTGACTTTGCTTTTTTCACTCTTTGTACATATGTATGTTTTCTTGATTTACATGTTTAACACATTGTACTTCTGTACAACATAAAAAATAAAACCAAAAACAGAATGTGCATTTAACATGAAACAAATTCTGCATATTATGGAGTCTTCATCAAAATGTTACAGGTTAAATTATACTCCAATAAATTTCTGCTTAAAACCTGTCCATTTGATGGCGGTGTTGACGCTTTTATCGCTCCCATGTACTTTTAAAATGACTGAAGAAGAAGATGCAACAGGAAGTTAGTGTGACATGGTGAAGATTTTGTTTTTGACAGATGACTCACTACTAAAAAAAAACTACAAAGAGACATGGGACGGTAAACCGTTTCTAACAAACTTAAAAGTCAGTAGTTAGTGTGACCACTTTTATTCTTCAGAACATAAACTCTCTTGGCCAATCACTGACAGCATGTTTTTGCTGGCGGACTAATCTCTGATGGTACAAGCTCTCCAGGACTACTGGTTGAAATGCAACCCCAAACAGAGCCTCTGTATTACAGATGTCTGAAGATTCATTCTGTTGACTACCTCTGTACATATTGCGGACAATTTGAGTAAGAAATTTCAAAACTAGATTCATGACTCCATAAGAACTTTTGCCACTGATTTTCAGTCCAGTTCTTGTGTAATTTGGCACACCTCAGCACTTTCTCCACGTTTCCCTTCCTTAATATCGGCTTCTTCAGAACCCCCCTTTCACTGAGACTTTTTCACTGTGGTTTTAGTGAAGCATGTTTTGCACATTTCGTCAACAGTTGCTATAGGAAATGATGCAATTGGAAATGATCTCATTGGCTAACACACTGTCAGTGCACTAAAAGCATACCATGATAGACAAACAGTACTTTTGCACATTTCTGATGATTCCTCTCTTAGACCATGTGTCAGGTCTTTCCTGGATTTCTTCCTATTTTTTAAGGACATGACTTTCCCATGCTGTGCATCTCCTGCAGATATTTTTGAGGTACATGTATATTTTTGCTTGTTATATTGTTGTTTGTATAGCCCATGTTCAGTTATTTCCCTACTCTTTCCAAATCCAGTAGGTTATATTCCCATTTGAATCATTAAAAAAAAGCTTTAAAAAAAGTTT